CTGCTGGGGACAGACGGACGAGCTGCGGAGGTCAGGAGCTGCGCCGGGCGACGTAGAAAGCGAGCGGGTCAGGCTTAGCGTCGGCCACTCTGTCCGCTGAATGAAGTGCCCGCCCCGCTGAGCCCCGAGCCCGGCGCTTTCCCCGCAAGATGGACGGTTTCGCCGGCAGCCTCGGTGAGTGTGGTTGGGAGTTTAGCCTGTCCTGCGGGGGCTGGGAACCTTGTTCCCTCCACACGCTACCCAGGCCCTGCTCTTCACCCTGCCCCTGGGGGCGCAGCGGTTCCTCTGCACATGTTCCCCTCTAGGCGGCCGCCCCGCCGCCGACTCCGGGGGGCCGAGCCCCTCCCCCAGGCGCAGTCCTCCTCCGAGCCAGACTCTCCTTTCTTCCCAGAGCCCCCTTCTAGCGGGGCCCTCTTTCCCCAAAGCTGGGGGTCCCCGCTCAGAGACCCCTAATAGCTGGTACAACCCTCCTTATAACACTCACGCCCCCACCCCATTCCCTACAGTGTTTGGACGCCCCTTACTCAAATCTGTTCTCTCCAGTGCCCCGCATTCTTCCTTTCCACGTACCGACCTCTCAGGGTGGGAGCAGCCCTTCCCCACGCAGAGGCTCCCTTTTAGGGTAGGGACCCCTCCCCCAACCCCTCTTCTGGAAGGGGGCACCCCGCTCCCCCGATCTTCTCTTTAAATTTGGAGACTTTTAAGTATCCCTTAGTAACTGACAACTTCCCTTTACTGCCTCCACTTCTCTCAACATTTTGCAGTCCGGAGAGACCCAGAGCACTGAGGCATCATCACTAGCCTCGTACAGGAAAGGAAGAGGTGTATCTGTGTTGGGGGACCCTCTTTTAAGAGTGAAAGCAGAAGTGGTTTCTGGCTCCTTGTGCATGCTGGGGAGAAGTAATCCTGCCCAAAGAATCCATAGGAAAGGGGGCCTCTGTCGGGAAAGAAAGGATTCTCCATTTTTGGAATATGTTGTCTTTGTGGAATGGAGAAAGGAAAGAAAGGTTATTAAGTAGGATGAAGTATCTTTTCAGTGTTCCCTTTCACCCAAATAAAGGTAGTAAAATTTGTAATTGGCTAGGGGAATCAGAACTCCAGTCTGATATTCAGTACCTTATAACCTGTGTCTGGAATTACTATTCTTTGAGGCCATTGGAATCTGGTTACTGTAAAGATTGAGCTCAACTCTTATAATGGTGAGAAAAACAGTTTCTGGTTTGGCTGATACTGCAGTTATGTGATACCTGCTGCTGGATTTGTATTTTGAGAATTTTATGTGGAAGTAGCTTGTATTACGATGCCTTTCTTTTGCATTTCTTGATAGTAAATTCTTAGCTGGTTAATGTTCACAGATCAGTGAGTGATCTGGCCAAAGGCCATGCTTTAATCTAGCCACACAGAGTTGGGATTAGATGGACTTTTAAAGTCTAAAATAAAAAAGTAAGTAAAAGAGCAATGGACTCATTATGGTTATTAAATAGACCTATAATTTTGGTCCTGACTTTTTTTGGGAAGGGAAAAAAAAAGTCATTGTTACTGGTTTCAGAGTGGAAATCCTAAATAGGCGGCAACTGAGTGTTACTCTTTGCTTCCCAAAGACACCTGTTGTCCATTATCTAACCTTTGATGTCTTATAATTCCTTACATAGTGAAATTGTTTCATTCATGAACTCCTTTTAGAGGGGCATTAACTTTTCATTGGTTCTTTTTCAGTCTCATGCCTGGCTTTATTCACTAGTTCATATACTCATGGACAGAAATACTTGCCCTATATGTACACTTTTAGATCATCTACTAGGACAAAAATTGTGTGTCTTCGGGGGGATTTTGGGGGCTGTGATAATCTCTGCATGGTGTTGGGTCCTTAGTCTGTAGGAGTGACCAGATCTCTACACATTTGTACTTCTCTCTGGTTGGTTTTGAGGTATTGTGGAGAGTTTGTGGAAGCTTCATTTTCACTGAGTGTTTTGAAAGTCTTACCAGTTGGACCTCATTTAAGTTCATTTGAAATAATGTACAGTATATGCCTTGTTAAAACACTTCATCCCTTCTTAGCCAACTAAAAAATTCAACAATGAAAATAAATTGCAGCTGGTTAAATAAATCCTATTTTTACAGAACATTACAGCTGGTCCTAATTCTGTATTTTTATTTTTTATTTTTAATTCATTTGATGCTATCTTTTGGGTAGCATGGAGTGAAACTTTCCTGTAGGTAATGGTGTTGATCAGGAACCGAAGAGATATGCCTCTTTCTATAGAGAGAAACCTGTGTCAGCAGAGAGGGAAGGAAATGGTTCCTGGCAGTATTTGTAGAGCTGCTGCTGATGAAGATACTTCTCAGCAGGAGCTCTGCTTTCTCTTTCTGTCCCCCTTTTAAGAGTAAAACTAGGCCCGGTCTTAATTGAAACCTTAAAGGGTTGAAAGTGGAGGAGGAATAGGGCTGGTATATTTTACTGGTAGCCTTTTAAGCAGAGTTCTTTACTCAGCTTTTGCCAAAATCTCTTGTTTCTGTTCTCTGCAGTTCATTAGCCTGGAGCTTAGAGTTACATTGATCTTTATTTTATCATCAAGAGAGCCATTAATATAAAGGCAAGCACTTGTACTGTAGTAGATGTTTAAACTTTTTTAACCAAACAAGAATTCAAAACATTTAAAGTTCTTCTGGAATAACAAGTATTGAGAGCATTTATTTCTCAAGGAAGTGTGTGTGTGTGTGTGTGTGTGTGTGTGTGTGTGTGTATTATCTACATTTGTGTATTATCTACATTTAAATATAAATCGATTCTTGAAAAATCATCAGAAAAGTACATTTTTTTAATAAACAGAAAAGTTGAGAGCTTTGTAAACAAGTTTAGAAAAGCTAATATTTAAGAGTCCTATGGTGAATCATTTTATAAAGTAGAAAAACTCTTACAATTCATATTGCACTTGGTTAATGATTCTTTAGCTCAGGTAAATACTATTGTGTGTGTTTTGTAAGATACCTAATGTCAAGACTGTAGTGGGTTTTGAAATCAGACAGGAATGTTAGGTGATTGTCTATTTATTGTATTACCTTTGTTTTCCATAAAAACATCTAAAAGATGCTTTTAATCTGTGCAGCTGATGAATTTCAGGCAAGTTGGCTCTTAAGTGCTTGTAGTTTGGGATTTTTCTTAGTTATATTATTTTTTAGTACATGAATTAGGGTAGATTAAAAAGGCAGTCCTTTGCCAATATTTTTTGGGAACTTTCTCCAGATTACTTTGATGTGTTCCATTCAAATCATAGCACACACACACAACTACACTGTATGTATTTTATTTTTTTATTTTGATTTTTCTGAGACAAGGTCTCATGTAGCCCAAGCTGGCCTCAAACTTGTGGCGCTGCCCCTGCTCAGCCTCACAAGTGCTGGGATTACAGGTGTGCACCAGCATTGGGGACTACATAGTATTTATTTTAAACCTCAAGTCTTTGTGCAAATGTGGGAAGGAAGTATCAATACAGTTTTTCTTAATGATTTTTTTATAAGGAAGGGATTTGGTATGTTTCATGCTTAGTCTTTTTTTAACATCATTTTTTTCATAATAAAGGTTTAGTTTTAAGATTTTAATCTTGGAATTAACCTAGTAATTAAGTCAATGTGTTTTAAAGAAAACATACACTTAATTAACCATGTTGGCTTTAATTTTTTCTGCCTCAAAAGTTAAAGTTCAAAACCTTATTTTTTCCAAGAAAAATTGTAATAAATAAAACTGTAGGGTTAGTATTTATAAGAAACTTAACATGTTGGATGTAGTGTATAAGTATGAACAAATTGTAGCAGTATATATCAATTTGTGAAATATTTTAAGAAAGCAGTCTTTTAAATATCACAATATTAGAATTAGAATTTCTCATCACAAATGTAGTCTGCATTTTTAAAGGAAAATACTTTATATGTGATTTTTATTTTTTACATTGTATTTTATTTTTTGAGACTGAATCTCACTTTATTACTTAGGCTGTCCTGGAACTCTTGGGCTCAGGCCACCCTCCTGCCTCAGCTTCCCCAATAGTTGGGATTGCTAGCATGAACCATTACGTCTGGCTGATTTTTCTCTAAATATTTATTCACATGAAATATTTCTTTTCTTCTTCCTTTTTCTTTCTTCCTGTCTGTCTGTCTGTCTGTCTTTCTTTCTTTCTTTTTGGTACTGGGGATCCCCCCAACCCCCAATCCTGGAGATTGGACTCAGAACCTTGCGCTTGCTAGGCAGGCGCAGTACCACTGAGTTTACATATGTGGCCTGGCCCTGGTACTGGGGATTGAACTCAGGACCTTGTCCTTGCAAGGCAGGTGTGGTGCCAATGAGCTAAATGCCCAGCCCACTTTTAATTTCTTATTGTTTCCAAGGGCTTAAGATAGTCTTACATTATAAACATAATACAGACTCTTTAAATGTTACTACAACAGCTGTGCGATAGCTAGAATTTTTGTTAGTATATATGTGGATTAACATTTTATGTGGTCAAGCACTGTACTTGTTCTAAAAGACATACTTTTTGCCCTTTAGGAATTTACTGCCTGATTTTAAATAGGTATCTAAAGATGTTTATCGCTGCCTGCCTTGAAAGTGCAAGGTCCTGAGTTTGATCTGGTACCACCCCCCCAAAAAAGGTATTTTAGCTGGATGAGGTGTGCATACCTGTAATCTCAGCACTCAGTAGGCTGAATGAAGCAGGAAGATTGTCCAAGGATTCAGGGCCATCCTGAATTACAGAGGGAGACCTTGACACAAAGAAACTACAACAGGCTGGGGATGTAGCTCATGGCTCTGCACCTACCTGATGTACAAGGTCCTGAGTTTGATTCCTGGTACCTAACAAACAAAAACAAAAATTAAAAAAAATTGGCCGGGTGTGGTGGCACACGCCTATAATCCCAGCACTCGGGAGGCTGAGGCAGGAGGATCGCTATGAGTTCAAGACCAGTTTGGGCTACATAAGTGAGTTCCAGGTCAGTCTCAACTACATAGACCCTGTCTCAAAAAGTAAAAAAAAAATTAATAAAAAAAAATCTGTCTTAAGACTTTTTAATAAATGTAAGGAAATAGCCTTATTTACCAACTATTATTATCTTATTGTGGAGGATTCACAAATCTATTTTACATTTCTTTTTTTCTTTTTGGCACCAGGGGTCAAACT